TGATCGCAGACTGCTACATATCCGTCGCTTGTGACGGTTGAACTGTCATGCGACTGTCTCTTCTTTCTTCAACTGGTTCTGAGCTTCACTTTCTTGTTTGCTTGTTTTTTCGTTCCCCCTTTGGAGGAATCACATGACCCGCCCGAGGAAGAATCGTCCCCTTCCACGGACACGCCTTGGGTGGATGCGCGCAGCATACCGACCGAGGTATGGCTGAACATCTTCGTTTTCCTTCCCACCAATGTGAAACTGACTGTGATCGCCCGAGTTTGCAGGCAGTGGTATCTACTGACTCGATCGCCACGCCTCTGGAGGAGCATTGAGCTTGGCTGGCGGATTCAACTGCCCGTTCTGAAGCGCCTCATTTCTTATGGCATCCTTGACGAGCATGTTGTCTCAGTGAGCCTGACTGGTGAGAACTGCTCTCTTTTTTATACTTACTCTTACACCTTTTAATACTGCGCCTCTGCTTTCCATCTGCCATCTTATAAACAGAAAAGTATCAATAGCATCGTACGAGATATTAAAAATATAGATTTTATTACCCTTGGCGCGATAATTGAGTTACTTTCAGGGCTGTGTTTACGTAGGCCGTAGACGTCGTCATTGGGTTGCGCGGCTAAACGAATGCAGTTTTGGTTTGGGAAATGGGAGGGGGAATGAGGGCTTGGTTTCGGAGCTCGCCCGATATAGTCCTTATCGCCGACGCAGTTTTCGCAGTCAGCGCCCAGCGCCACTGCGCTGATTCATCTTGCCTTTGATTTCCAAGCGTTAGGTACTCGTGCGTGACAACCGCCCCCGCACACTCTTTGCCAACCGCTGCTAGGGACGCCCTCACTCTCCCCGTCACTTCGCTGTTTGAAGCACGCGTAAGCTAGAAGCCAATCATTGCGCGCCATTTCATTTGATTGGCCTTAGGCGGCAAATGATATGTCTGGGAGTCAAGACGCCCCAGACACGCGGAGACGGATTGACACAACTTGCCTGAGGGCAAAGTTGGCAACTAGAGCCCCTTGTAAAGTTCACTTCTCGCAGCAAAAAGCTGCTCCAACCTACACTGATTTCTGATTTGGGAAATCTTCGTTTTGCCAATAGTGAAGAATATGCGAGTTCCAGGAAGCAGTTCAGAAGAAGAGGATGCGATCACTGGAACAAGAGCTTTATTTTCCTGACGTTTCGGATTCCATCGGGAATCCTTAATCATAGGTGATGGTAACATAGTCATAGTCATGCGCAGATAGGGTTGAAACATGCACAGGTTGCACGGTATTTGTAGTTCATAGTGGTCATCCGCGTGCGTGCGATAATTATTCACTTCTATAGCCACCGCTTGGGTCTTACTTGATGCAGTACTGGCTTGACACTTCGCGTTCGACTCACTAATTGTCACAATTGCCTTGCCAGCGTCAGATGCGGGCCTGATAATTGCGTGACAATTATGCCCGCTGCCGTC